TTAATTTTATGCATTTTTTTATATTTGTTAAATATTATAATTGCTTAATTGATAAAACTTCAACCAGGTTTTTTTTTTTATCTCAATTACCTTCCTCAGAGCATTTTCTTTATTCTTTGCCATTTTATTTTAGTTATGATTTCTTACCTAATCAACTATTGTTTACATTTTGTTATGTGTTTGAGTTGTCGTTTCTTTTCTTTCCTTCCAATAACGCTTGCCTGTATATCCTAAACACAAGTTCCTTTTCTTTCTTATGTTCCCTCAACGTTCCCTTTTTCATTTTAATGTTTCCTTCTTTCCTTTCCTTTTCTTTTCTTATATTTCCTTATCTTTTCTTTCACATTCCTTTCTTATTTTCCCTTATCTTTTCTTTCCTTTTCTTTTCTTATGTTTCCTTATCATTTCTTTCTTTTTGTTTCTTTCATTTTCGTATCTTTACTTTTTTTCCCTTCCTGTTCCCTTCTTGAATTTCCTTATCTTTCCATATGAAAGATAATTTCTTTTAAACTTTGTTTTTCCTGTTGTAAAATATAATGACAATGTAATGTCAGTTTTCGCATATTTTAAAGAACTCTCTAAACGTCGATCTTTTCTTTTTAGCGTAATTTTTATGTTAAATATTTATACAAAACGTACTCTTATTAGTAACTCTCTAAAAGTTCGTCAAAAACCCCTCGCACGGATGATTACATTCCTTTTTCCTGGCGCATGCGTAGAAACTACATAATTTTGGGCACGGCGGCTCAGGGTTGGCAAGGCGGGTTTACGAAAGGTCTAAATGCGTCGGGCGATAGCGTGCAGCGATTTTACGAAAACGTAACAATTTTATAGAAACAAAACAATTCTTCAAATGGGCAGAGTGATCGCCGATCAAATTCTAACTACTATCATCAGCAAATAAATGTTGCTAAGAATAGGCCCCTACCTGTAAGTAAGCCTAATAAGAAAAAAGAAAAAGAAAAAGTATTGACAATCTGACAACAGAATAGGTACCGTTCTACACTAGATATTATCCATAATATCTAGTATAGAACCATGGAGACGGTATTCTGTTGTTCTACACTAGATATTATCCATAAGAAATTGCCGATTAATCTATCGCAACTGACGAATAGGTTTGTTGTTGTTTTCCAAATCATAAAGTAAACATCCACGTTACAGATTACTGAATGTGGCTCCGCCTTCAATAAGGTATGCATACGTATTTATTCAGTTCTGTGCTATCAAGTTTTTAAAGAATACATGTGGTTCGCTTATGGATATAAAATCATTAGCAACATGTATAAACAAAGCATTAGGTTGTGTCCAAGACCGATATTTGCTTGCCGAGGTGCTAATACATAATAGTGAGCTTTTTTGATCTGCCTCGAGAACCAATCCGCCGGGAAAAGTGCATATTTTGTGTATGACGTCACCAGTTTAGGCCTAGTTTTAGACTCGCAACCCGAGATTCAGCTGCTGGATCCCGGGCAATGAATCGAGAACAAGAAAATTAATATATTTGCAACATTTCAATGACATTTGATTATATTCAATATTAAATTATTATATATTACCTTGAGAAAATCATCAAATGCCGTACTGATTGCAAATTCACTCGAATTTTTCGCAGATGTTCACATAATCAATGTATTTTGCCCAAGCCTGACCCTAGCCATTCCGTATTATAACACACTTAAATAGATTCCAGTCATTTGATTGGTTAATTTCGTACCACGTGACATTATTTTGCCCATTTCATCGATCATCGTCAATTTTGTTCCAACTTACATTTTTTTTCATCCGAATAATCCATTGCACATTGAACATGAATGACATCAACGTAATAAATCTTTTGATTGGATAAAAAGACGCGGAACTGACTTTTTTCCAGGAGGGTTGAGTCCATGATGTGATGTCACGCTACCAACCTATAACCAAAGATACTAGAAACACAAGATAGAGTTCTCCACAGAAAAAAAAACTGTTCCATCGAAATGCGTGGTGGGAATACAGACTGTGAATACATGTCCTTTTGCAGAGGTTGAAACCGTTGCCATTATCCATAAGATACAACAAGAAGGAATTAAATAAATTAAAACAATAAAATGACAGACACCAAAGCGCAGAATCGTATGACGACCGGACTCTGATTAGTGATAAAATTTTCCTCCATTATTGGAAAAAGAAGGGCGCCGTAAACTTTTAAAGATCGTCAGAAAAGGTCGGAAAAAAAATTAATTTTTTTTTCTTATTTAGCTTAAATATTTTTCCGAACGCATTTAGGCGAATGAGAAAATAAAAGTAAAATTTTAAACAGTGTAATAATGCAACTGATAAATTATTTAAATTTATATATATGTATATATATATATATATATATATACATATATATATATATAACTATATACAAAACTATTAAAAACAATTAAAACCAAAGAAAAGATTACCATTAAATAAAATAGGTCGGGTCTTCATTGATTAAAATGTGACGAATTACCGATAATTGAAAACAATTCTAATTTTAATTTCAATCATTTACGCGAGCACGGAATTTATGCGAGCACGCACGCGCGCAAATATTCGATTATATATGAATTCTTATACGCTGTCCTTTCTAAGTGATGTTAATTGTAAAATATAGTTGTAAACCCAATTAAGTGTGTGAAATTAATATGCAATGTACGTAACACATATATTTTGCATGTGTTCATCGGGAAGATTATGAAACAAAATGGACGGTGTGTACCACGTGACTTTCGTAAACTAAGGAGCGGAATGTCGCAATTCTTTATATATATGGCTCTGTACTTAGCAACAGAAGGGCGCCCTGTACGTTGGGCACGAAGTATAGGAAACTTGCATGGTTAAAAAGAAGGGCGCCGCCTACGTTGGGCACGACTTCCGCCTCATTTTTACAATGCGAGTGCTCTATCTTGTATTTCTAGTATCTTTGGTAATAACATCAAAAACGCATGTGAAAATACTATGTAATATACCTAACTCATATACTTGGTATGTTTTCATCGGGAAGATTTGGACACAAAAATGGATGGTGTGTACCACGTGACTTTCGCAAACCGAGGAGCGGAATGTCGCAACTCTTGATATATATGGCTCTGTACTTAGCAACTGAAGAGCGCCCTACACGTCTGGACCAAGTATAGAAAACTTGAATGGGCGCCGCGTACGTCTGGATCCTTATCCGCCTCTTTTTTGCTATGCGAGTGCTCTATCTTGTATGTCTAATATCTTTGTTATAACCTTTCTAAGGCCTACTTCTTGCTGAACTTGTCTTAGCGGTGTGTAATGAATAGATTTTGTTTACTGTAAACAGCTGTAAAGTATTTTAATTGCGTTGATGATATCTCAAAAACTAGCACAAACTTGCGGAAAATCTGTGCGGAATTTGGCTCATATTTTCCGAAATGCGCTGACGGATTTCTAGCCTACTAAGTTTTGCACGGAGGATAAGCCTAGGTTAGGCCAGGCTAGCAGGTCTAGGCCGAACCGATCTATGTAGGTGTGTTATAAAACAACCACAGTAAAAATGAATGTTTTGTATTCGTAAAATGGAAAGAATATTTTCATTCGTTGAAAGATTGACTTTCCATTCAACTCATGAAAATATTCTTCCCATTGGACTCATAAACATTCATTATTTGTATACCATTCAATAGCAACCGTGCACCACGGTCCAAGCACGTACCACGGCCATGGCAACAGGATATGCTGCCACCAAGAGCTTGGTTCTGGGGAACGCGAAACGCGATAGCGAAAGCTCACTACCGTACTCGCGCGAATAAGCGCCCGGGCGCTTAAAATATTTTTGGCTCTTTTTGAGAGGCGCTTATTCAAACGGGGTGCTTATGCAAACAGAGTGGAAATTGAGGGGAGCTTATGGAAATAGATGAAAATTGAAGTGGTGCTTAAGGGAAATTGGAAAATTCAAGAGGCACTTTTTGGTTTTTGGTGAAGAAAATGTAATCGTCAAGAGAGCATGGCTCATAAATTTTGGGGGTAGTTACACAACAGCAGATGAAATTAGTGGTGATGTTGGTGGTGGTTGTAAACGTGTTGGCCATCTGCCAATTCAGATTAGCAGGATCATTGCAGGTTTCTTGCCTAAATACGAGACTGATGATGTCAGTTTATTTTTGTTGACTGAAAATTACCATACAGTATTTTATTTTTTAGATATTAAATACTGTAGTTCTAAATCCAAAAAGGGGTATCAATAAGACAAGAACGGCATTCTAAAGATGAATCAAAACTGAAAACCATGTTAAACTTTATGGAGACTCATGATAGACCGACAAATGGACTGACCGACCGACAATGCTAAGATAGATGCGAATAGTTTATGCAGAAAATTAAGTTGGTGATGTATTGTACTGATGATTGATTTTTTTTTTTTTAGGAATCCAGGGGCGCTTTTTCGCGCAAGTACGGTATATTTTTTTAACGAGAACGGGAAATTTTCTTGGTGGATTGGTTCTCGAATTAACGAGATAGCGAAAACTTTTAATGATCTCACTTTAATAACCGAGGAACTTACAGAACTTACTTATATGCTCAAGTTAATTATATGTATATTACTGAAAAATGAGCATCTTATAACATTGATTTTTAGGTTTTTTTTGTCAGTTTCAAGGGACAATACATCTTTAAAAACCCATGATCAACAATACTTTAAAATAAAGCCTCTCATGTGCTTTGGTTATGATGATATGCCATTAATTTTTGTTTGAACGATGTAAAGAAACACTTGCCTACAATGGCAATTTAAGGAGATTGGAATTAAATGAAACGCAAGAAAAAGTGTGTCTGAACAGTCAGTAACCAGTGGGTTTCTTGGCTGAAAAGCTGAGCACACAATGCAAACCAAACTGCAGTGATAAAGATGATGCCGAAACTTTTGGAATGCTACGTAAGTTTAACCTGTCCTAGTTTTGGATTTAAAATATAAATAACAGTCAAAAAACACATCAAACCACGACAGAAAACAAGCAAAATATTTATGTCGCTATGCTACCTCTGAATTTTGATTTCGGTTCATTCGATGCCTTGCTTTTATCATCGTCTTCATCATTAGTTTCATCCACCTTTAGCTTTCTTTTTACTCCGTTCTTCTGAGGCACTGGTGAATGGAATGTAAGAGATGAGGGCATAGGAGGGACGATACGTGGAAACGCGTTCATTGTCGTCGCTAATGTCGGCTTCTGAGGTGTCGGTGCTGGTAGCGTCGATCCAAACGCTATGTGACGGTGTAAGAACGCCTGTGGAAGCCCCGTGAACAAAACATATTATTTTAAACGGTACCGTACCGTATAATGTAAATAGTGAATAGAATGTTATTAATTTTAAATGAAATCATGAAATGAAAGCAACTGCGCAAAATGTAAGCATAAGATGATGGTGATGATAATAATAATAATAATAATAATAATAATAATTATAATTATAATAATAATAATAATAATAATTATAATTATAATTATAATAATAATAATAATAATAATAATTATTATTATTATTATTATTATTATTATTATTATTATTATTATTATTATTATTAATATTATTATTATTATTATTATTATTATTATTAATATTATTATTATTATTATTATTAATATTATTATTATTATTATTATTATTATTAGCAGAAGAAATGTTTTGCCCGACTGACGTGCTAAGGTACTGAATCCTCAGTACGTCCCATACACTTGCAGAAAATCTTTCAAGTAATTCGGGTTGGAATCGAGCCCCACGACTTGCAGTAAACTAGCCTAACCACCAGCCCTAATCAGGATTGCGCTTGAGTCAGAAAAATTGATGAAAAGAGTGATGTTTTGCCCTGACGTTTCCTGGTCTCTAGTGGTTATGACACCAGGCTAGTTATCCGGAAGTCGTGGGGTTCGATTCCCACAAGATATTAAATTTTCTGACGTGACAACATCGTAATAATAATATGATGTTAATGATGATGCTAATAATGATGATGATTGATGATTATGATGATGATATTGATGATGATGAACATTTTTAAATATGAGTGAGACCAAAAATTGAAATAATGTAACTAATAATGTTTTGCCAAATTTCTGACAAATATTAAATACCACGATAAATCGCAATTACCTTATCGGATATTATAATGGAGCTATTTCGTAGAATTCTGTTGATGGAACTAACACTGGGAATTGTGGTTTCGTCGCAAACACGTTCTTGCAGAAGTTTGTCTCTGATTTCCCACGCAAATATAGATGGGTTTTCCTGTTTGTAACTCATAATTTTCTTCACAACTAACGGGGTAGCTACCTGTAACAAGAAATTAAACAAAGTAATTATAAACATCAAAACAGGCGCGGATCCAAACCGTCACACCGTTCGCCGTAACGAAGATCAGGGTGAGAAATAAAAATACAATGTTGATATTATACAAATTAACCAATTTTGTTTGGTTTGGTTTTAGCGGCAGTGCCGTATACCTTATATTTTGCCAACAAAATAAATGTAGTCAGTGTAATTAGCCCAACACTAAAATGACACTGTGTTTTTGTGGCTACTGCGATTGCGCAAAAGTAGCTACTATGCCATCGCAATACTTTCCCGATGTAAATTATGGTAACTTTCGAAAGTCTCTGATTATGAGCCGACAATTATTCAACGTTCAGGAATAATTTCGTGAACACGTCCGATCGAGGTTACGAGTGATAGCCGATTATACCGTATGGCAAAACTACTCGACTAGTGTTTTGCTCAGCGATGTCAAATGTAAGTTTTATTAGGCTTAGATTTCTAGTACAGTGGCCAATGTAGTAAAATAGACTCAAATTTATGTTAATTTATGGCAAAAATATTTTTACGACTCAGAATTTTATACTGAACCAAAAAAGACTTTGGTGCCCATGTTTTCGACAATGTTAACTGGCCGCCACCTTGAAAAACAAGATGGCGGACGCATCTAGTCAAACATAGTATTATGTGGTATCATTGGAAAGGAAATCATGCACTGAATATTTTTTCCCATTACACTAGTATGATGAAATGCATAAAAATTGAGATATTCGCCATTAAACACGTCATTGTCTGCTGCCCTCTATTGGTAACAAATTTATTTTTATTGTTGTTTGTATGAAGTTGACTGGTTTTCTTGGTTCTAATACTGATATTTTGTAGTATTATTTTTGTAACTAATTTGATACATTGATAAACAAATTACATTTCTATTTATGTGTGTTTTTTTCATTAAACAATGTAAATAACCATATTATTTGTGCAATGACAGTTTCCTATCAATATATTTTTTTTAATGCATGTTAATACAACTGCAAAATCCTGGTATTTTCCAGTCTAGTAAAAAACAAAATCGTTTAGCAGACTGCTAATTATGAGAGCAATTGTAAATACTGTATTTATCGGAATAAACACCAGGGGACTTTTATTGTTAAGAAGGGTTTTATTGAGGGAGGTATTTATTATTATTATTATTTTTCGTTTGGTGTGAATTATATGCGTATATACTTAAAATATATGCCCTTAAATTTCACTACAACACAAAATTACTATCAAAATGAATGAAAAAAATGTAATTCTACTAGAATAGAAAAATCAATAGAATCTCCTGACAATGATATTACTTTGTTTACAGTCATTTGGTTGAGTGGGATCTTGATTATTTGAGGAAAAAATTAAGGCGTTTATTCCAAATAAGGCTTGAGGGGATGTTCATTCAAATAAATGTGGTAACAGATCTATCTATGATTACCACTTTTCATGTAGAAGTTTTGAAGAATGAGACTATCTTACACCAAAAACCATCCCGGTACTTGTGAATCCGGATTTCGGGGGTTACAACATAAAAGGTGACATGATATTTACCATAAGTCTAAATAATAATAAATTGTAGATTATGGATTCACCTACAGTAATAACAAGCACATTTCATTTTAGTTTTTATAATTAAATTTCTCTTATGAACACCATCTCAATATGCCTTCATGTATCTTGGCACGACAGGCACAATTTCGCTGGAACAATATCGTTTGGCAAACCTAGCTGCTACAACTTTCTATGTTTAAGAAACCGCTGGCCGAATCCGAGGAAAATTTGCGTACAAAAGGAGGGCACCTAATACAGGGTTTCCAAGTTGGAAAAAGTCATTTCCGGGAGATCTGCGGTGGTGGGTCGAAGGGTGGGGGCCTGGAGGGACTTTCACAGATGGAGGGTGTGAACCACATCAGCCCCACCATGGCTGGAGCTAAGGAAAGTATGTATAATTGTGGCACGTTTAGATGGCCGGAAATGGCCCTTTCAGACATAAATTTGAATATCATTTTCATTTCTACCCCATTTTTTTTCATAATTTTTAAGTATTTAGGAAGCCGGCAGTACTGTACTACTGATCTGGTTAAAGAATTCTTTAATTTAATTAAACATTTGATTATATTTGCTACACATAGTGATACCCACCGGCACTGACTTCCTTAGAAAATTGATAATAAAGCAGTGAAAACATGCAAAATTATGAATTTGTTGAAATAGGTTTTTTTCCGGGAGATTCTTGCTTTGCAGGAGTGCGGGAGACCGTCTTCATTACCCGGAGATTCTTGCGATTTCCGGGAGATTTGGCACCCCTGCAGTGTGAAAAAACTAATAAACATGAACAAAAATGTTGTTGTTATCAGTGTATCAGTCCAGTTTACAAACAAGAATCTGCAAAGTATCGTTATTAGAACTGAGAAATCCAGCTAAATTTGTACTACGAACTACGAAAATGAAATTTTTACCAATAGAGGGCAGCAGACAATGACATGTTTAATGGCGAATATCTCCGTTACAATTCATTTTTTATATTGGTTTAATGGGAAAAATATTCAGTGCATTATTTCCTTTCCAATGATACCACATAATGATATAGATGTGTCCGCCATCTTGTTTTCCAAGATGGCGGCCAGTTAACCATCTCGAAAAAATTGGCACCAACATTTTTCTTGTTCAGTATAAAATTCTGAGTCGGAAAAGCGTTGTTGCCATAGCCTAGTTATGAACTCATCGCACGATTTACCTGTCTGCATACACCGACCACAAAGGTCAGTGACTGTATTCTCTCTCGACTGCTGAAATGTTTATTTCTTTGACGAAAATCTATCAAAATAGCTTTACAAACAAGTTCTTTCTAACACAATACAAATTACAATAGTTATTCATCGTATCCGTACTGTACTGCTGATGTGTAGTTAATTAAACGCGTACTGCAGGAGCAAATATCAGCATCAAACAGCTAAATACGCACACGTATATAACTGACCATATCACTATAGCAACCGATGACTGCTACAACAGTTGGTTATAAAAAACTAAAATTAAAAGACAATGATTGACTTATAAAGCAACTAGTAGAGCATGCATCCTACACTAAATGGAAAATTATTATACTTAGATTTAATGCATTCAAAAATTTACTTCGGGGGTTGCAGGCCCTCAGGAATTTTTTTCAAGCATTAAATCTAACCTTCGTATAATAATTTTTTATAGTGTACTATGCGGAGCTCTACTAATTGCTTATTTGTATTATTACGGTAGATGATGAAAATTTGTTTTGATATTTCATTTTGGGTCTGTTTATTCCGTCGAGTTTCAGTTTACATTTCTGAACTTCAGTATACGTAGCCTATGCTGGTAACTTTCATTGGCCGCCGGTCAGCCGTACAGTACGTCGTCAACTATTAGCAGCCCTAGCTGGTGTAGCTAGTCCAGGGAACAGTGAAATCAATTCACTGTAATTATTTAATTAATTAATTTCACTGTTCCCTGGCTAGGCTAAGTCGTCCACAGAGACTGGTAGGCTAATTATGAGGGGTGGCGCCGGGATTTCCACGACGAGGCCCTCGAGGGGTCCGATGTCTCTTACAAGAGCAAAGTGCGCGTGGTCGGGCGTCGCATAAAATCTTTTGAATTTGGTCGTGTTGGCCATTGGCGAAACCCTAAAAAATGTTGAATGAGTTAAAAGTAGTAATAAAAAAAACACGTCTAGCAGTAGATTCACGCCCCCGCTGGGAGCCTATTTTTAGCATTGATTAGCATTGAAAGTTCATTTATGTTTTTATAGAAATGCTGTAATTTAGCAATATTTGTTTTAAAACTCTAGGTCACATGAACGAATTCAAGGGGAACCCAGCCAGCCTGGACCCCATAAATATTTGAAAATTATTTAAAAATAAATAGAAAAAAAAAATAAAAATTTATATTCAAATTCTGAGAGTGCCATTTCCGGACATCAGAGGCAACATATGCCTAATCTTATTTTTGTTTACCTTAGCCCCACCCATGGTAGGACTGAAGTGTCTATGTGGCACCCTCTATTTCGAATTTCTGGATCCACCACCACAGTCTGCAAGGTCCACCCCAACTGTGCGAAGGTCAGGGAGAAATCCTGGATCTGCGCCTGTAAAACGCTACTGTAAGTCAGGTAGCACTTTTCTGAGATAGGTTTCAACTTATTAGTATATACAGTATCCTCGTGGGTGAGGGGGATTTGGTGGAGGAGCAATGTTGGTGCCAGTAACACTGGACAGGGCAATCCCTTCTTCCTGTTGACCAAGTCGTCGGAACAAAAGAGATGCTTTTTATTCTCTGTATTTATTTAAAGGCGTAATTATTTGTTTACAACGTCTCTGAAAACCATACCTTTCCAGGCAGTAGGGAGATTATCTTACCAGAAACCCAACGATTAGCTTCTGGAAACCTCTGCTCGCTGGGAATTGCTAGTCGGCGCTTACCGACAACTTAGCCCCTTCCTTCCATCGAGCGAATCCTGCCTCAGTGTAGCATCACCAACATTAATCTCACAAGGTAAAACTATTTTCTTCTACAAAATCACAAACAGTGCAGACTTATTGGACATCACCGTTACCATGGAAAATGGTGACTTAAAACAGATCTCTTCCGTAAACCCACTGATAAACATATGTACCTGCTCCCTCTGTCATCCACTGCACTGTACCAAATACATTCCGTACAGCCAGGTGCATTGTTTTTCGGATTTAGATTTTCAGATTTGCACAGCAGAACTATCTGGACATCTCCGGAATAGAAATTATTATCGAGGACCCATTAAAAATGCTATATAAAAAAAGGGCATACCTTGAACTCTAACACTGACGTACAAACCACTACCTATTACCCTCTAGGTTACCAACATTATAATTCAGAAACTGACCCATCCTACAGATCACAGAAAGTCTTCTTAGATCTGTTTTTTTTTCGGATACACAATTCATAGCCTATTGTGGACCACCTAACCTTCAAGAGACCAATTAATTCTTGCGACACTCATAGTTTGGCCTGTCATCTGTGTGGTTCATCATGTTGTCTGTTTGATTCTATACAGTCATTCAAGGGCAACCAAACAAATCACATTTCGGATAAAGCAATCAATTAATTGCTTCACCAAAAATGTCATTTATCTCATAGGCCTATATTGTAATGTGGTAAACAATATGTCGGAGAAATTTAAAAAAAAAATACTCTTCGTATGAGAATAACACAACATAGGCCTAGATAAGCTATCCATCTAAGCTTGATCAAAGTAGCCGAGCATTTTAAATTTTCAATTCAGTTGGTCATTCAATCTCAAATTGCAGAGTGATTGTTATAGACCATAATGCCAAATGGAGCAATAAAAATCGTAAGGATAAAGAAATGTCGGGGAACTTTTACTTAAAACCACTACACCTTTTGGACCAGTACACTCCAATGGCATTCAAAATTTATCTGTATAAATCATTTAGCCTTCTTGTTCACTCTTTGTTCACGTGGTTTATTCAATCCAATTCAAATTATTGGAATCACTTTTGAGACAGTGCCACATAACATAACATAAAAAACATAATTTTTAAAAACCAGATAAAACCAACATGACTCACGCTGCCTAGGGACACAGCCAAGGTAACTGGTTGACTGTCAGCGAAGCTGTTCACCCCAAAATAGCAAGCAATCTGGCTCCACCAAAGCAATACCGCCTTAAATCTAAGTGTTTGTGTGTTTCTTTGACTGTGAACAGCTTACAGGCCATAGTTTTTATGGGAAACTCCTCAAACTTTCTCATAATGATCCCCAAAGATCTCGGGGTGATTAAATTTTGAAGGGCTATGGTCAAAGGTCAAGGTCACAATTAGCGAAAAACTACTTTTGTATATAATAACAGTCACAGCCAACAATTTTTATCAGAAATTCGTCAAACTTGGTCACAATGTTCCATGACCAACAATCTAACAATAATTAAATTTTGAAGGGTCAATGTCAAAGGTCAAGGCTACAATCGACGAAAAACCACTTTATATATATAAAACAGCCTACAGTCCACAGATTTCATCACAAACTTGTCAAACTCGGCCACGATATTCCATGATCAAAGATTTAGAAGTAACTAAAGCTAGCTAGTCACTGCCAACGACATCAGGATGTTAGCTTTTAAGCTTGATTTATGGGGCCAACACATGGACCTCGGTCAAAGGGAAAGTGAGAGGGGGGAGAGTGGTTGAGAGCTATGCTACACGATGTATTATGTCCTTTATTCGAACACTGTATTTAACTTTCTTTGATGATTTATATATAATTTAACAGTGTTATTGGCTATCTTGATTTATATTATATGCAACTATGTATTTCCAGTCGTATTATTGTGTAATAGAGTGTATCTGGCGGTAACTTGAATCTGTTCAACCATGAAGCCTCTGTGGTTTAATGATTATGACGTTCGCCTTGACAGCGGGAGGTCGCAAATTCGGATCCCATCAAAGAAATTTTATTACACAATTTCTTTATTCATTTATTTATAGAACAACATTCATTGGGAGCTATGCTACACGATGTATTATGTCCTTTATTTGAACACTGTATTTAACTTTCTTTGATGATTTATATATAATTTATCAGTGTTAACGGCTATCTTGATTTATATTATATGCAACTATGTATTTCCAGCCGTACTTATTGTGTAATAGAGTGTATATGGCCTAATTTGAATCTGTTCAACCATGAAGCCTTTGTGATCAAATGGTTATGACGCTTGCCTTGACAGCGAGAGGCCGCATGTTCAAATCCCCTCAGAGGAATTTTATACACAATTTCTTTACTCATTTATTTATAGGACAACATTCGTTGAGAGCTATGCTACACGATTATTATGTCTTTTATTCAATTCGAACACTGCACCTTTCTTTGATGATTATATATGTATATGTAAACAGTTAATATATATATATATATATATATATATAATATGTCAATCAAACATTAATTACTATATACGAATAAGTTCTGTTCTGTTTTTGTTATTTTTGGTTGATATTTCTGGGCCAACTATGCCTAATTAACCGCATTAGCGGATGAAGAATTAACCTACATTATTGGTATAATTGTATTCTGTATTATGAATTAACCAATAAACATTTTGCTTCTTTATCTCTCTCTATTATCTGCAGGATGGTAATGACCGTATGTGTTTTTTACCCGTAATGAAAAGAGTTCAGGTTGATATTGCATTATTCACTGATGTTCTTTGTCGTTAAACTATTCTAGTGCTGTTCTTCTATCGTTTCTGATTAAATTTGTCCTCGAACGCAAAGCTGTGAGTTTGGAATGTTCTGTTCATTATTGTACATCCGTACATGATTGATGTGATTTTTATTTTAAATAGAGCATATGCGAACAGGTGAAAACATTCAACTATGTTAGAATATTATATCTTTTAATCAATAGACTAACCTTTGGTTTGCTTCCACCGATACTACCCGGTTTGATGGATCCAGTTTCATAGTAACGCGTCAATATTTTACTGACGCAGCCATGAGAAACGAGGAGCTGACGTGATATGTCACACGGACGCACACCTAGATGCGCAAGCTCAACAATTCGTGCGCGGATGAAATCTGGCAATGGCCTGCCATTGACAAACACGCCACCAAGTTGATTGACACCGGCCTGGCCTAAAAATATAACACATGTATTACATTATTACATAAAGATGATAAAAGTTGATGCGTTTTGTGATTAGAAAAAAATTTCAAGAATAAATGTAAATCAAAATTATCACAAAAGTTTTTAAATTGAAGCTTAGAAAATGCAGATTTGCCGGACAAAACTATTTAAACCTACTCTGTTTATGTAAACAGTTAACAAAAAAAAGAAAAAAAAACACTTCACATTTCTATCATTAGAATCATCTATAATTATTAGGTCTCTTGCCTAGGGTCTTACCAGCCTGCGAGTTTCAAAAAGTGAGAAAAATCGTTGGACAACTCCGGACGATTAGGAAAATTCGGACAGAAGTCTTAATTGTCACAGATATTTTAATTGTCATATTTACAGTACTTCACGATTCCTCTCAATCTTCTGCTGTGATTATTTTAGTATATTTGGCCTGTTTTTGGTTTTATCATTATGGTAATGTACCAACTGTGATATTTCTGTGAAATGCTGTGGTATCGAAACCATATTTTCTTTGGAGAGTTCTCAGGGAAAGGGAAGCTGCAACAGTAGGCCTACATTTCTACTATCCTCAAAAATAACAAAATAAAGAACGATCAACATAAAAATATAAAATGTAATTGAATATCATTTAGGCATACCGAATGATTGCGCAGTAATTTTAATATCTTGAAATGAAATCTACTAATATTAATTGGAAATTAATTGGGAATATGTAAGCAAGGCGTACTCTTTACGACTGCCACGCTGGGTGACCGATTGTCTCGCTGTCACCTGGACCAGTCGCGAACCTTACACAAATGTTACTCATGTACACAATACCACCTGTCATATCATTTGAAGAAATACCGACGGGAGTGGTTCGATACCTTGATTACATTATCATCTAATTTCTTTTAGATGTACCCATATATGTGTAGGCATATTCATTATGTAGGCCTATGTCAATTAGCAGAAATATCAGGTCAAAATTCTCTGTACATAAGGCCTCTACCGTATAGCATTAGTGATTTCATGAATAATACTATTTCCGCTTCGAGAATCCTAATTAGTGTGTAGGATATTCTTTAATAATACCCACTTAAGTTTATAATATTCTTAACGATCAGTGACTGATGATGATGATGAGCATGATCGTTGTAATCAGGGTCCTAAATATTGAGGAATAAAGTCAACAATCCATGTGAATGCACCTAGCTGTGTAGCTTGAATACGTCTAAAAGAAATAAAAGTACAAAAAAAAGACAAAGTTTAAAAAACACATTTAGACAAGTTAGTTACCTTGGCATTTTAAATATTTTCAAAATTATTTTCTTTGCTTCTCTCTATATTCCATCTATTAGTGTTATTTTGTATTGTATTTTGTGTTTTCGCTTCAAGCCTATGCCCATGTCTACACTTAAGCCTATATTTCTATTCAAACCTCGTTAAGTTTTCTTGTATTTCTCTGGTCATAAGATAATTTACACTCATTTTACTGACTACAATAAACAAAATCGTGCCTACCAAATTTAAAGACCTTCTTATTGTATCCTCCTATATTTCTTTTAAGAATTTTTCGATTACTGATTCAAAGAACGAAACATGAATATAATAATAACAATAATAATAATAATAATAATAATAATAATAATAATAATAATAATAATAATAAAAATAATAATAATAATAAAAATAATAACAACAACAATAATAATAATAATAATAATAATAATAATAATAATAATAATAATTTATCGTAGACCAAACACCTTCATTTTTACAAATAATACTCTCACTGAATCTGCGATTTTTTCTGATCATGTTTCCTTCTACTAACGAGCTAAATGCATAATGCATAAAGGATAGCACTTTACACACCGTTTTTTCTGATCAACGAACAATTGATCGTCTATTTGCCCACGTCACTTAAATGACAAAGCGTTTAGAACGTATATTGTCATTACTATATCCCTGTAATGATGCAATGGTGAATAAGTTCTAGTATACTTTTTATTATATAGTAGAACACCCTTTTAGGACACCCCGATTCAGTCGAGACTTATATTGTAGGAGACACCTGTCTCTACAAAACGAGGAAATGCACTACGTCCAATTGCAAATAAAGGGGGCTCCAAGTGCACCAAAATTTAATTCTAATTTCAACCTTACTTTTAAAACTAATAAGGAGACACTAGGCTATTTTTTTATCCTATTACAGCAAATCAATAACAAACACGATAATATTCATTTTTTCAAAGACTTCTGAACTGTAGAATTACATTAAATTAAGTTTTTTTTTACGTTATACTGTATATTTAATATGAATTTGATTGAATTATTTTGGGCCCATATTACTCAACTATGTATAAATAAACACCGAAGTCATTACCGTACTCTATTCATGCATTCCCTGGCATCCGATACTATAAATAATTGTTTTCATTATTTTTTTAAAGTAATATATATTCTCAAATTCTTTGCGCCCATTTCTTGTTACGGTAGGCCAATTTACCCTATAAATTGCACATTTTAGGGAGTTTTCATCAATTCCGACGAAATCAGAATTAAAAACACAAAAATATTTTGCGCGCTTGGCGCGCATTTTTTAGGGGTTTTTTTTAGTTTTTTCCTTTTTAAGTTATTTAAACACATAATAGTCCCAAACTCAAGAAAGACAAATTTAAGATAGAACATTTTAACCTAAAAGAAGGGTCTCAGTGTGTATAGATGGTGAAAGAATATGTTTGTAATAAATAAAACCATGATGAAAATGCTTATATTTATTATTATTATGTTGTAATGATGTTGTTTGTACTGTTCTTTAATTTTATTAAAGAGGGCCCCTGAATATCTGGGCTACTGGGCTAAACAAGAAGGGTTACCCTCTTTAAAGATGGTTGAAATAAAAAATTAATAAAATAAAATAAATAAATACCCACTCTGACCCAAGACCCCTGTTACGCGCCTGGTGTTAGCGCCAATGTGCGGACAGGGGATGTGACCCCCTCTGAAGCTGGAAACCTTGTTTTTGCAAAATAAATTGATGCAATTTACTATTATAGGCCTAATCAATAAATTCCTCATCAACCGATATAACCTTGGAATTGACATAACATTACGGATGTCGTACACACCCTCCAGTGTGAAATGTGGCTCTCTTTGCAAGCACATCTAACATCTAAGGAAAGAAGAGCTTAGATTGGTACCAGATAAAATAATTTTGTTATCAACACTAATACACTATTCTAATTTTCATCTTTGTAAGCGCATAAGACAGTGCAACTTATTTCTGTGACAGTCTTTTGAAGTGTGTAAAGCTCCATTTTATCCCATACATAGTCAAAATATTGGGGGATGATACAATGGACCATCCCCCCTTGTCAAATATTAGGGGATATATCCCCATCCCCCCACCCCGGGATCTACGCCTATGGATACAGCACACAGAGTTGCAACATTTCATTTTTACGGTTGCAGGACCAGGATATTAAGAAGTCGCAGAGCTTTAGATTAAACTTGATTAAGCATCTTAAGCACATCTCTGTTGCCGCCTTAAATAAGACAATTTTGCAAATGTAGGCACTATCCAGTAGAAGTTATGAGCGCAATTTTGTCTTCTGTTTTTTGCAAATTCTTGCAATTGTATGTATGATTTATACTGCTTCAAATAAATAATTATTTTTATGTGTATTGTATTTTATTGTATTGTTATGACTCAAGGAAGTGGGGTCTTCAGTTTCCATGATCAGTTGGTAATTTGGCAAGAGTGGCAATTCAACAAACAAATGTGTGAATTAGTCTCAAATTCAAATTCAAAAACCTTTATTGTCCAATAACTTAGTGACATGTGTTATGGTAGGCATGTCGATTATACTTGCTTCTAAGATAATTTGTTCTCGAAAAATATATTTGGAAGGGCACAAGGCAACAATGCCTATAACAATTTGTATCTGGCGCTGTGTCGTCCCTTACTAGAGTATGGTAGGCCTATCTCATCGTTGAGAGGGTGCCGCACAGATTCACCTGATCCTTTATAGGTAGGCATTGGGGTACCCTTCCTAATTATTCAGTTCCTGGCCTCTTAATATTTCAACTTATTTATGAATCTGCATTGTTCTGCAATTGTTTGTATAAAAAATGAAGAGCAGGGGCGAAAAGACCACAGCTTTGGGGTGAGCCCATATTGGTATAAGTGGTATAACCAATTTTAAACTTCTAGTGACCGAATAATCAAAAGTTTCCTTAGCCAGAGAATAATAGATGCAGAAATATTCATGTCAATGAGTCATAAAATGAGGTTTGATTGTGTTAAAAGCGGAACTAAAATTATTATTATATATATTATTATTATTATTATTATTCATTCATCATTTTTACTATGTTGTTAAAATGGCAATAAAGGAATATCGTATCGTTTTAAACCACTTGTGAAATGCATTAAGATTCAGAAATCCCGAGAATCAGCTAGTTTAATTATTTAAGCCAGGTAGTAAATTCTGGAGATTCTGGAGATAATTTATTTGAACCTACCATTATCCCCTAATTTCTAGTCAGCCTACTAGTTTTTTTTTTTTCTAATCTGTTTTTTTTTTACAATTATTTTAACTTCGCAGTTTATCTTTGCTTGCAAAGACTTATTTCTCCTAAATAATAGTTTTTAAACTCTTTAGTAATTCAAGGTTTGTTATAAGATAAAAGAGCAAGCTTGTACTCAATGGCGAAGTAATATAGAAATGAAGGATACGTTTAATAATTATTTGATTTTCTGTCCCGAAGATGGATTTATAAAGTCTTACATAAGCTTCTGTACACTAGAAAATCAGATAGTGACAGGAACACTTGAATACAGACCTGAGAATCAAACACTGTTGGTCAAAGCAGAATTAGGTTATGCTAAAGGCTTTCAGCTGACACTTGCATATTCCCATGGTAGCATTTTTATTTTTTAATGTCTAATCTTTCAATTAAATTTTCATTTGCTTCAAAAGCCGTCAGTCGACTATTACCTGCCATACAA